CACACACACACACACACACACACACACACACACACACACACACACACACACACACACCCCTTCACCAGTTTCCACCTTCCTCACCCTCACTCACTACCCGTCACCCTCCAATAGGCATGGTTACGATGGGTTCCCCTCCGAGTTATCGGCTTCCCCAAGGTGTTTTCTCCTCAACTACAAAAACAGAGAAAAGGCAGGACAAAGCACACACCCAGACTGACCAGTAGAACACGTCTAACAAAAGCCCACAATTCAGCATGCAAGCAGGATCACCTCCTCCATGCTCTGGTTTAGGGTTGGAGGGGCTGAACAACAGCAAGGTCTTCGATGTCTGAAGTGCAACTGTTTCTTTTCCGACATCTCAGACGTGTACATCTTCATTTTCTTCCCACAAAACGAATCCAGGGAGTGCGATAATTCTTTGCAGAGCTGCCATAGTCATACCACATCGATAAAGAGAACAACAGCCGTATTAAATAAATTGCCAGATTCGATAAAAAGAACAACAGCCCTATTTAATAAATTGCCAGATTGATTGACAATTAAGAATTTCACCGTACAAGAGAACAAAGAAAAATGGAAAAAGAATGGAGTTTTCACCGTACAAGAGAACAAAGAAAAATGGAAAAAGAACGGAGTTGGCAAGGGCAAGGCAACTTACATAGATCCATGATGTGGTTCCTGCAAATAGCACAGTTATCGACAACAATGTCTGCAAGGATAGAAGAGAGAAGAAAATGCCAACAACCAGAGCAGAGAAAAAATGCATGGTGTCAGTATACCAGCCTGAGGATAGAAAGGAAACCAAGCCTACAGTCAAACAAAGAGGGCAGCGAAAATCGATGAGGCATGTAAGCGCAGACGAACTGAATCATCCAAATAATTGGCAGCAAACGGCTTCTCGGCTCCAGTGCATCCCTAGTGCGGAAGTCTATTACATAGTATTATAACCCTGGGCACATTGACTGCTGGACAGTGGAGTAACTTGCAAAGGAAACCACAGTTAACAAAGCTTCTCAAGGACATCCATCCATCCACAGTCTAAACGTACTCCCAAGCTGCTTGCTGGATGCAGCGCCCCCATTTGTTTTGTACTCGAGCAGACGTTCCGTGTCTGATCTGTACTCCGTACACAGAGACAGCACGCGCACAGAGAGAGAGAGAGAGAGAGAAAGAAAGAGAAAGAGAGAAAGAGAGAAAGAGAGAAAGAGAGAAAGAGAGAAAGAGAGAGAAAGAGAGAGAGAGAGAGAGAGAGAGAGAGAGAGCGAGAGAGAGAGAAGGAGAGAGTTAAGCTTTACCTTGAGAAGATGGCGAAAAAGACTTAAAGAGATACCCACACCCCTCCTCCTGCTAGAAATGTCAGTGTCAAGCGCTGACCAGCAAAAGTTTTCAGCCCAGCCCGGAACCAAAGGAGGACGGCTTGCGTCGGGGCCACACTCGATGATGATCGGTTACTCTGACGGACTGTAATGCTTAACCCATGGCGACTCCGTGGAGGATAATGCTTAATCCATCAACACATAAACGTTAACCTATGGTGAATCATTCTGAGTATAAAGGTTCATTGAAGGGAATGAATGGCTAGAGGTTCAGGGAGTCTCATGGGAAAGAAATCGTCCCGAGAGGATGCAGAAGACATGGGGGGTGATGTAGGGGAGATTGAACCATGAGAGGGAGGAGGGAACTACGGAGCTCTCACAGAGTAAAGAGACGAGTAAAAGTAGTAGTAGTAGTAGGAGGAGGAGGAGGAGGAGGAGGAGGAGAAGTGGGAAGACGCACAGAGTATCGCTTTCAACCTCCTACATGGATCATGCTATATGCCTCTCACTGATCTTGCTATTATTAGAACAAATATTATAACATGCTGACAACCATCTTCCCCCGAACACAAGGCACCCACCCAGACCATGAATGCATACAAGCTATCTTTTTGGTCCGGTGCAATCATAATGCGCGTGGGTCATTCCGTAGGACATGGTAATATGCTTGCTTGCGCCATTCCCTTCTCTCTTTGGGTCATCATACCCTTAAGCGACTCTGCCGCAACAATGCCTAGACCACGAATACCCCTTTCGCTTCTCTCTTTGGATCATCATCATATCCTGAAGAGACTCTGACGCAACCTTTTTTTTTGTCACAATGCCTGTCCGCATCTCATACGCCTTTTCTTCGCTGCATTTACTCGTTAGTTAGGCTACTCGCTCCACCACCCACCACATGCACAAAAGACAAAAACTGTGGCAGTGAATGCATCCATGTTCTCGTGGGAGATTCATTCTCATTTTGCACTTTTGGTGAGTGGTGCAGTGAGGCCTTGCGTTTGCTGTTTGCAATAGAAGCATCCGCATATCTTCGCTCATCTGTGCACATAATTCGTTATGGCTATTACCCAGAGTAGGGAGGGGGCTGCCTATTTCAATAGACAAATTTTCCACCCCTCTTTCGAGCTCTTTTAGGGTCAGAAATAAAAAATGCATCAGAGCAGACGCATCTTTTCAGCATAAGGGAAATGCTTAAAGCGAAACTGGAAACAACACGATATCCCCAAGGAAGGGGCATCCTTACCAAATTGCCCCTCGAGTATCTAGCCCAGCCCTCTTACCAAATTGCCCTTCGAGTATCTAGCCCAGCCCTCTTTCCAAATTGCCCCTCAAGTATCTAGCCCAGCCCTCCAACCAAGAGTAAAAAGGGCCTTATTGGAAGTCTAACTACTTCACTCACTTTCTTAGGGGGGTCTGATCTTTTCATTGTTAGGGGGGGTTGTCCGCTTTCCCTGTCACTTTCTTCAGGGGGTCTGATCTTTTCATTCTTAGGGGGTTTTGCCCGCTTTCCCTGTCGGTACTTGCACACACTATCGGTCACTGAGAACTACTTAGGCTTAGAAGGTGGTCCCCCCCACAGAATTCAGTGGTGGTGCCCCCACAGAATTCAGATACGCCATTCGCATTTTCCCCATTTTTTTCCGTTATTTCAAAGAGGGCAGCCCCTATCCATCAAGATTCGAACTCATGGCCAGTTTATCAATGACTTCTACATCGGCACTTGTACACACTATCGGTCACTGAGAAATACTTAAGAGGCTTAGAAGGTGGTCCCCCCCACAGAATTCAGATGCAGCGCGGCCATTCTCCCTTTTTTTTTGGCCCTTATCCATCAAGATTCGACCTCATGTATGGCCTGTTTATCACCACCTTCTACATATGAGCGGTCCACCTGAACCAATCAATTTAAGTTTTGTTTTGCTTCGTTTTGTTTCGTTTTTGTTTTTTTTTTAATTAAAAAAAAGGGCAACGGCGTTGAGATGTCATCATCATTTGAACTGACCGGCCCTGCAGATTTAAGTTTTATTTTTTCAATTAAAAAAAGGGAAAATTTGCAGTATTTTACTCGTCTGCTCCATCTGCAAAAAAACTGTGGAGTTCGAACTCAGGTCTGTACTTCAACGGTTCAGGGTGTACCAACTATTATTTTTTCACTATTCTTTTTCTATTATTCTTTTTTTACTATTCTTTTTTTACTATATTTTTTTAACTATTATTTTTTTACTATTATTTTTTTTACTACTATATTTTTTAACTATTATTTTTTTACTATTATTTTTTTACTACTATATTTTTTAAGTATTATTTTTAATATTATTTTTTTACTAATATTTTTTACTATTATTGTTTTACTATTATTTTATTATTGATTGAATTAAAGGGCACATTTCACTTTTTTTTTACTTTTTCTTCAAAAAACTATACTCTTCTCTCAATTTTTCCTCACACTACCTACCTACCACTACTCCAACCTATAGGCATACGGGGAAACCCGTAGCATACCAGAGCCGTGTTTTTACGGCCCCTCGAGCCTGCAGGAGATCACGCCACCCATCCAATCGGACAACAGGCCTGCACGGTGCACGGGGTCATTCGCCCTCAGCGCACACCTCACCAAATGAGCAAAGAGAATGAATCTTCCGCTAGAACATGGAAAGATACACCGCGCCATAATTCGTGCGTGTCTTTGGTGCATGTGGTGAGTAGTGCCACGTGGGCCATTACCTAGTGAAGCACGTGCTACCGGATTGCTGGACGAGGGAAGCAGAATATTCCAGATCAATAACAACTAAACTCTACCGTCTTCACCCAAATAGAACGCCCGGTCATTATAGCTGTATTTGGGCCAACTTCCAGTCTAAATACAGCGATAATGACCCGGCGTTCTATTTGGCTGAAGACGGTAGTCACCATCTTCCCGCCAACATAATGCGCACCCTGATCATGAATGTATAGAAGTTAGCTTTCTGGTGCGATACAGTCACGATGAGGGTGTGTGTTGAGTTCGGGAGAACCTGATCATCAATGTATACAAGCTAGCTTTCTGGTCAGATACAGTCACGATGAGGGTGTGTTCAGTTCGGGAGAACCTGATCATGAATGTATACAAGCTAGCTTTCTGGTAAGATACAGTCACGATGAGGTGTGTTCAGTTCGGGAGAACCTGATCATGAATGTATACAAGCTAGCTTTCTGGTAAGATAACAGTCACGATGAGGGTGTGTTCAGTTCGGGAGAAGACCGGTACCTCCTCAGTTGCGAGCCCTACTGCCACCTTCTTCCCCCCAATACAACGTATGTACGGTCATCATAGATGTATATAGACTGAAAGATACCCCGAATACAGCTATGATGACCGACCGTACGTTGTATTCGTGGGAAGAAGGTAATTAGAAATCGCTGAGCTTTTTTTAACGCAAAAGAATTCCCTCGGAGAGCAGAAAACAAAACAACGGGTGATCGCTCAGTCGGTACAACCACAAACTGTTGAAATATGAATCCGACCCAAGTTCGAATCCAGATACAATCAGATGGCCAGAACAAAAAATCGTGCTGAATTACCTGGGGCCGCCATGTTCAATGATGATATCTCAAGGCCGCCGCCCCTTGAAAGAAAGAAGGGGGGGGGAGAAGAAGAAAACAAGAAAACAAAAAGAATCACCTTGGAGTGGGTTCCCGCTGGATTACTACTACTGAAAAAATAAAACAAAATAAAATCATTGTTCTTCTGAAGAATATAATCCGAGTAACGGTCCCAGGGACTCGTCAAAAACCCAAAAAAAAAAAAAAAAAAACTATCATCTTGCCCTGTTGTCTATATTCCTCGACTCAGAAAATGCCGAAAGGTAAGCTCCCCTCACCGTCAATGGACCCTGTGCACCACCCCGCCCCCCCCCCCAAAAAAAAAGCGATTAAAAAGAAGTCTTAACCCCTCCCAACCGATCAGAAGGGTGTCTAATATACTCGGACTACGTTACGACCCGCTTGAGAAGGAAGAAGCTTCTTGGGGGAAAAAAAAACAACAAAAAAAAAACCAAAAAAAAACAAAAAACAAAGCTTCTTGTGCCGTGGTGCTACTTGGCCACTGCATAGCAGTCCCAAGTAATTCAGACATAATCAACTTGATTCAACATAGTCAAGTAATTCAGATCGTGCCACGTGGCACATGGATGGAGGAGAGGATCAATTTGCTTCAACATACTCCAGATTAAGGAACGACCCGTTTGAGGAAGGAAGAAGCTGGACCTGACCCACCGAGGAGCATTTCCCAAGAACTCTGACATACTAATCAGCTAACGGGCCACGCCACACACGCTTTCGAAACGGAAAAAAGAACGAATGCATCTTGCCCAAACAGTGGTAAGATGCATCCGTTGCCATTCATACTAAC